CATCTTTCAGGGTCTTCTTTTCCTGCAATGCAGCAACACCATTAAAAGAACCAGTAAATGTACACCATCCTTGTCATGCATTTTCTTGTGTCACAATATGTTTATGGAAAAACAAACACATTTTATTTATAGCTTAGCATGTACTCTTGTAGGTTTTAAGAGTTGACATTTGGTGCTTGATTTCATCTGTAAAAATACTCATCAAAAATAAATCTTGACTTTTGGCGGTTAAAGCTAATGCATCTAAAACAGTTCATTGTAGACTGATACAACACTAAACGACACTGTAAATATGTTCAGTTCTTTTGTCAAACTTGTCTTTCATTTTAACATATCTTTGAACAGTAGAAACACTAATGGTTGCAGGAAATTTTTAAATGGCAGCCATCTTAAAAAAAATGAATAAATAAAAAGCTTTGCTTCCTCCTTTTTTTATTTCAAAAATTCACCTAAAGACCCAGTTTATATATATATGTCTTTGTATATGCAACACTCTTTGCTATAATCCAGTTTTGGTAGTGCCCCCCCCCCTTAAAAAAATCCTGGATCCGTGCCTGCAAAGGGGGAAATATGTTGTGTCTGTAATTAATCCCACTTTTTACTTTCTCAAGAAAGCCTCCTGAGGGGGCTATTCAAGTCTCATGTTACTTAACCATGCTTTTCAGCATCCATGTTGGTTTTTCGGAATACATACGTTCCACATACAATAACATTAGTCCATGTCCCTGCATCTATTTATTTCACAATCATAAGAGTAACAACATGTGTGAAGGAGCAAAAATCTCACTTACTATCTGTTTTAGCCACTGCTCCAAGACCACCTGTCTGCTGGTTAAAGTGCTCTGCAACTTCTAGTAGTGGCACAGCAGTGGTTGTAGTACAATGGCTATGCAGACTCATGTCAGACATGCAGGATAGCATCTTCTTCATAAGAGTTTCATGAGTTGACAGAGGGGGGTGATGACACTTTTCCTTTCTTTCCTTTTTCTTCCTTGGACCTAAAGATGAGTTAAAAGCATGAAATATTCTTTTCATTATACAAAATGGCCCCCAAGGTAGGCTAAGGATAATT